GAATACGATTGTGAGGTATCCAGTGGCCGTGGGTGAACCAGAATTTGAAATTTGCTCACGTCTGCCCCCACGTTATTGTTATCATGTGTCAATAAAAGAAATCAGAGAGAGAAAGAGAGAGAAAGAGAAAAAGAGAGGGAAAGAGAGAGGGGGGGGGGGGAGAGAGAGACAAGAGAGAGAGTGTGTGTGTGTGAGTGAGTGTGAAAAACAGACAGAAAGGAAGTGAGAAAGAAACAAAGAAAGTAAGGAGCGGGAGAGAGGGGGGAGACAAAGTGTGAGTATGTTTGTGTGTGTGTGTGTGTGTGTTAGAGAGAGAGAGAGAGAGAGTAAATCTCTTACTAAAATCTAAAACTAAAACTAAAAGAGAGAGATTGGGGGGGGGGGGGTCGTGAGAGAAAGAGAGAGATGAACAAATTTACACAAAGGGAATGTTTTGGACAAAAATGAGTAGAGCGCAAGACGCAAGATCAACTCACATTCAGTGACAATAACAATAACCTGAAAAGAAATGAAAAAAAAGACAGCTTGTAAAAGGTAGATGAAAAGCAAAGCAAACTGTTGTAGAGACTTGACAGAACGTCGGGTTGTGAACGAAGCACAGACGAATTAAAGTTTATTTGCAAGCGCATTGCATATTATACGCCTGTCCACATTAATAATAAAACAACATTAGTATAACTGGACTACTTTTGGGCGCATGTGTCATGTAACTATAGTGCGGTCAAAAATTTGTGGCCCAACTTTTCCTCAAATATCTCTTTAACGGGAGAATCAATGTCACCTATACTTTGCATAGCAGTTTGTATTAAAAAATGTCTTAACTGAATCATATTTTTCCACAACAATTGAGGCTCGATCAAAAAAATGTTCTGTTCTTCATAAATTTACATAAAATACTAGATCTAGGCCTATCACTATAAATCTCCATCACGCGAAAAATGTGATTGTTCATAGCACTTCCTCGCACACATTTTGCATACGCATATATGGCCTATGTCACAGCTCGCCAATGACACTTTTTAGTGGCAACACTTCGTACAAAAATGTTTTTAAAATGAACACATTCTTTTTATCCTAAAGGTTTCCTAGACATACGTTCATTAAGCATGCATGCTATTGCGATTGGAGAAAAAAATGACAGACTTGCTTTTAAAAGCGATATTACCGGAGCTGTAAAAAAAAATTTAATTTGTAGAAACAATCGACTGGGATTTTTTTATTAGTACTTATTAAGGAATTTTCTAGAATACAGTGTGCAGGAGTTTGAAAAAATAAAGACAAATTTATATAAGTGACTGTGCAAAAGTTGGAGAATCTATGTTCGATAGGTTAGGAGATATTTCACAATAAGTTACGCCGTGCATTTTTGACCGCACTATAGGCGTAAGTTGGTATACTATGAATTTAATTTGTACTCTTAACTCATATTTCACGCAAGGCGTTACATGATTGATAATCTATTCTCAATCTAATAGCATAATTATACCCTGCCGACCCCATCGTTCGCCCCCACATTCCCTTCGCCAACTAACTCTCTCTCTCTCTCTCTCTCTCTCTCTCTCTCTCTCTCTCTCTCTCTCTCTCTCTCTCTCTCTCTCTCTCTCTCTCTCTCTCTCCCCCTCCCTCCCCCCCTCTCTCTTTCCCCCTCTCTCTCTCTTTCTCTCTCTCTCTCTCTCTCTCACCCTCCCTCTCTTTGATTTCTTTTATTGACACATGATAACAACAACGTGAGTGCAGACGTGAGCAAATTTCTAATTCTGGTTCACCCACGGCCACTGGATACCTCACAATCGTATTCAGACATTTTAAACATTCTCCTAGTAATAACTCCTTACGTCAGGAGCTTCGTTAAACTGGCCGTTTTCCTCCAGTATTTTTGCAAAGTCCAGATGCATTCATATCTGTGTACGGTCCCGTAACATCACGCCTTAGCGCAGGTAGGACGTACGGTCCCCTAGCGCCAAACACTATGGGGGCGTACGGTCCCCTAACAATAGCCTTTTGGTAGCGTCAATTGCCACACCGAGTGAAGCGGTGTCAAGTCTGAAAACAACACTATCTTTAGCATTATACTTATACATAATCATAATGTGTGTCTAATGGGTCAATTTGTTCTGAACTAATTTCATTGGACAAGCATCCAAAATCTAGATCTAGTAGAACTACGGTACCAACTTGGCGTGTTTTCAATGAGACGTACGCCTAGATCTAGGCTAGCCTTAGCCTACACTTTGGTGTAGAACCGGCACAGGCAATTCAAGAAGTAGTAGAAGGTCACAAGCACACACAAACTCAAGCAGAAATTCATGTTAAATCGGGGGACGGGGGTTAGGAACACACACACACACACACATAGGGACAGAGAGGCGAACGCACGACACTCGAGCACAATAAGCTAGATCTACCCACCAACGCAAAAGAGCTCCAATTTACTTGGTGGCAATTGACAAAAAGTCAATTTTTGTCAATTGCCACCACGTCACTCGGTGGCAATTGACACTGCCAAAGTAAAAAGGCGGAAGGCTGAGCTCATCAGCTCTCATCCCGCCTGCAACGCCGAGGCCCCACGTAGACCTAGATCTAGAGATCCAGACATGTGACATTTTGCTAGCACTTCCCCCTGTTCTTTCTCTCTCCCTCCCTCCCTCTCTCTCTCTCTCTCTCACACACACTAACTCACCACGCACACACACCAGGTCTGGGCGCTGAAACTTTCCAAAATCACAAAAGAGTTCCCCTACCGGGTCTGATACTTCGTGACTTTGTTCCCTGTTACCGGGTCTGTATACATGCGATTAAAAGTAGAAAGACGCCAACTATTTTTAGGTAAGGCGCCCATCTTGTTTGACGTCGGACCAGGATACCCCTCCAATCACATGACTACATCTAAGTATAGACAACCGCATGGCACCAAAGATGGAAGTGTCTATGTATATGATACTTAGTCTACACCTTTTTCTCGGAAGTTCTGATAGCTGATTTGATAGCGCGTCTGCGTTTGATGTCGTGCAGTGACTTTTGGAACGGTTCGATTCCGGTCCCGGACAGTTGTTTTTTTTTCTCTTTTCCTCCTCCCAACTGACCGACAGTTCCATAAATTATAGGCCTAAATTGTAGAGTTGCTTTGAAGTTGTTTAAAAAAAAAATGTATTAGTGATTAAAAATGCAGGAGAGGGGGGGGGGTGGTATATCTAAATTTAGATATCTAGATCTAGTCCTCCTGCGTCTTTACGGCAATTTTCGTGCGGCCTTCCATCATGTCCAAGTAGGCCTACTAGATCTAGAATCTAGATCCAGATCTAGGAAATCCTAAATGTTACCGAAAACACGTCGTTCCATGTGGGTATCCGAGGAACTGAGGAAGTGATGGCATCACATTACTAAAATTAGCAGCCAATCAGAAAGATGCGTCTTTTCTATGTTTAACGGCATGTGGTCTGTATACACTTCCATCACCAAAACCCTAGACGAGTCAGTTCAAGCTAGATCTAGAATCTAGAATATCTAGATCGGCTGTAGTTATTCACACAGGGTGTGTGAATGCTGTTGGAATTGTATTCGCACAGGGTGTGTGAATACTATGAAATTTTATTCGCACACAGGGTGTGTGAATACTGTGTGAATACTATGAAATTTTATTCGCACACGGTGTGTGAATACTGTGTGAATACTATGATATTTTATTTGCACATTGAGTGTGAATACTACAAAATATTATTGGCACAGGGCGTTTCAAAAGAAGGATGGAAATTAATTGGGCCTAGCCTAGATCTAGATTCTAGCATTTCCTCATTTTTTTCCCTCATCGCGTAGGGACAAAGATCATGTAAATTCTATAACCAGATAGTACACTCAGGTCTCTTTGAGTTTGAGCCAATTAAAAAAGTGTCCTCAAATTTGGTGGCGCCCTCTTCGAAAAAGTGTGGACTTTGCGAACAGGGTTACCGTAGAGATCTAGAATCTAGAAAGGTTAAGCCACCTCGGGAGAGGGACAAAACGAGAGGCCTAACCGTCAGACAGAAGAGTGTTATAATCGCAGCTGAGGTGCAACGCGAAGAGCCCCGTCAGGCATACCTTCATGCAATAGGCTCCGCTCCCAATGATTCCCGTCTGGCATGTGGCACAAGTCCTTACGACCTGCAGCACGCACTTTTTGAGTGGCCGCAGGGGGATGCACCTCGAGGCCCACTTATGGAGAACAGCGCGAGACCGAGGCCACAGGGGGTTGCCTCCTACCTGTCTGCCTGCAGCACATGGCCTCCCTAAAGAGGCCAGCCAGAGGAAAGAAGGAAGATAAAATATCGAAGTGATAGCATGCTGGCTGATGCCATGCGTACTCAGTGTACTGTGTACTCAATCAGATAGTCGGTGTTTGATAGATCTCGGAAGAACGAAAGTGAAGAATGGTTAGTTATGAACTTAATGTTGTTTGTAAGAAAACCCCTTGACCTGAAAAAATTTGAGGTTTCAGGGGGGCATTCCCCCTCCCGAATTTAACAATTTGATGTTTATTTGCAATTAGGTTTCATACCGCTCGCTCGCTGTGCATCGAACATCTAATTGGCACGGGCGTCAAAAAGTAATTGTTTAGAACCATAATAAGTAATCGGATAGTTATCATTGGGGTCAAACATTTGGAATAGAATGACATATATTCAAGTTATTGGGGAAATCTGAGGGTTTAATCATATTCTAATTATTGTGAATTATCCACCATTGAAACATAAGTCCCAGACTGGATCTTTGCCCAGACCCAGTGTGCTACAATGCTATTATGTTATGCATTACTTTCTTAAGCTAAAATGGTCAATAGTCGAGTTATAATCCTTCCTAGTTTGCTATTTACTAATTGAGTCTACTGGGATTTTTTTTTCTTTGGTTAAAAATGTCGTGTGTTTTTTTTTCTAAAAGCAGAAAGTGTGTGATTTGAATAAAGAAATGCTGTTTTCCTAGTGTTATAGTTTACAATAATATAATCTAATTTCTTTTTTCTCTTTCAGATATCAAGAAAAAGAAGAGAAAGTCTGTCTCTGAAACTGATGTCAGTGTAAGTACTTGGCTCTTTATAAACTTTATATGCTACAATTATTGTAAGTTTTTATGTCCCCCACCCCCCAGGCGATGCTACTGACTGAAGTGTCTTTAAGCCATTCCCAAAGGGAGGACATTAACCTGTTTTTATTCACAGTAGAATTATAAATGGGCTGATTCATGTCATGCTCATATAACTGTGCCTGAACTGCAACAGAGAACTGAGCGACTGCTTTTTCTTGTCAAATCCTAGTCCTTACTATCTTCATTTCCTCTACTTCTTTTAAGTATGTTTGTCACATTCTTGTGACCGCTATTTTTGGGATACCTTGACAGTCAAAGCAGACTTAGTGCTGTTAAAGCTAGAGAGGTGAGCAGAGTAAGCCTGATTCCCTAGAAGAACTCTGTTTACATCCACTGTTTGGTGCTCGTATGACCTTATGCAGTTGCGAGCGCCGTAATACCTCTCCTGAAACTGAAAATTTTAATGTGATTGATGAATATATATATATATATATCAATTTTCTTTTCTGTCTTTTGGCCTAAATTTCCGTTTCCAGGATGAATAAAACTTTGTCTATGTTTGCCTTTTTTCAGGAACTTCAGCATTCTGAAACTTTCTTCATCGCTCCATCAGACAAGGTTGCCACATTGGACACCAGCCAATGGCCTCTTTTGTTAAAGGTGAACTTTATTTTCTTTCTCTGATCTAGTATCAGAGTGATCTTTTTCAAGTGGAGGTGGAATGGGTACTCTTTTTTTGCTTTGGTTTGGGCAACTTATATATTTTTTGGCATTAGTTAGGTGACTTCTTTAAGATACAGTAGGTAAATCCCGCCACTGAATCCCTAAATTTCTAAGGGGAGTGCATTCCTACTGTCAGCATTGATGTTTAGCTAAGCGCATCAGCCAGGACTTCAGTGTCAGTGGACTTGCTGTTTGCTTGTGGCGTGCTCATGATATATTTGGATGCTGGATCCTCAATGGTGTCACCTTCCTCACTGCCCATATCCCTATTCCACATTATCAGACCGGCCAACTGCTCCGATTTTATCGTAATTGCTGCAATATTTTTATCAGTTTGAATCTTTTTCTTCTTCTCGATCGCATCACACTTGAAGTCTGGTATCTGTCATAAATTGGGCCGTCCTGCTCAGTTCATCAGTTTGAATGACTTAGACGGAATATGCGAAACTCAGATTTTTTTCCTCAAGCTGAGAAACTCGGCCTAACACGGATCGGATGTCTCGTCTAACACGGATCGGATGTCTCGTTGATTAAGAAAATGGATCAGGAAAACCCTTAACCTGTTGCCCGCTCACCCTGTTGATCTACAGCACACAACTCGCGAACCGAGAAACCCACCTGCTGTAGATCTACGACACGGCCCTGAGCGGGAACCGCCCACATTATAAGTATGTACGCCGATGACCTCGACCTCTACTATGGAAACCTTTTGTCCACGAACTTTGATGGGTCAGGTTTAAATACAATAGCCAGTCAGATTCCAGCTTTTATTTTGGGGAGAGCGTGCCTAATTATGTCGTCACGAGCAACGAAAGTGACGCTATCGCAACAAAGACGTCTGTACGTGTCACTCATTTACAAACACTCATGCCTGGCAACAGGTCAGAAGTCAATTGTAACTTTCTGTTGACCTACATAGCGCCTTAGTTAAGACAAGTAGACTACATACAGTGATGCAGTCATGATGATTTGTATAGGGCTACATGTATAAAAATCTCTTTTAACAACAATTTTAATAAAAGTTATGTCGCAATGCGATTAACCAATTTAGTCTGGTAATATGGATGTTAAGTTAGATGCTCCCTATTTTTTTCCATGAAAAATCCTGTGGTTTTTTTTTTCAAGTAGGAGTTGGCTGGTCTGCAGTACGCACATATATGTGTATATATTATGCATTAAACCTGCAGATAACCCCAAAATTTCGGTTCCGGGGATTTGCATTGGCTTAAAAACGTAGGTGGTGTCCATCTGGCAAGCATCATTTTCCTCCCCCTCTATCCCGAGGCCGATTCAATGATTTGACAACACACCCACACATGGCAGTCCTCTTTTGTCTGTGTCAGAAGCAGTCAACCTACTTATCAGCTGCGCAGTTTCCGGAGACACCGGCTTGCTTCAGCAGAGAAGCTCCACCCACATTCTGGTTGCTCACATTTGCAGGTGTCTTGCCTTGAGTTTACCCCTGCCATGAGATTACTCCCTATCCTTCTTTTTAACCGATAAACATGAACTGTCCTCCATTTTTACAAAAAAAATTACGATATTAAAATAATTAAAAATTAATGGAAAGAGTTGTAACTCTAACCTTATCCTTCCTTCCTAATTTAGCTAATAGAACGATGGGAGTAATCTCACGGAACAAGTATCTTTCAGAAATAAGCAAGTAGCTGCTGCAGCGTCCAGACCAGAGAGTTTACAGTAATACTAGAGAGATGACACTTCGCCCGGATGCGTGTATCTGGGTCACCAGCTGATCGTGGAGAAACACGCGGTAAACAAAACAAACTGCGTCCATTGTTCAAGGCATTTTCGTTGTTCACAGACAAGCATGGCCCCAGTTAGCACGAAATGTCAATGGCGTTCTGCTATAAACTGCACCAAATAAAATCAAAATCGGAGTTTCTTTCGATTTCCAAAGGGTGACGGAAATATTTTGATGAATAGAAAAAATATAGATCAAAATAATGACAATGTGATTGTGGTCCTACCAGACTGACACTCCATGCACAAACTCAACACACGTCAACTTTGTTATATCAGCTATAAATTGTTTTTTGTTTTTTTCTGTCTAAATGCCCAAATTGAGCTTGCATTTCTTTTTTTGAGGGGGGGGGGGTGGAAGGTGTTTGGGATCTTATTAAACTCTTTAATTGGTAGATCTATCATTATTGCTTCATGTGCTTTTCCATTATCTGAAATTGAGAGTATTTAATATAATGTGTGCGCGCGTGTGTGTGTGTGTGTGAGAGAGAGAGAGAGAAAGACAGACAGACAGAGAAACAGATTGACAGACAGACATGTAGACAGAGCAAGAGAGGGGAGAAAGGAAGACAGAGAGAGACAGATGGAGAGAGAAAGAGACAAAGGCAGAGCGAAAGAGGGCTAGATAGAGAGAGAAAGAGAGAGACAGACAGACAGAACGAGAGAAGGGGGAGAAGAAGAGACAGGGAGAGAGAAAGAGAGAGACGGACGAAACAGACAAACACACAGATAGTGCGAGAGGGGGTGATAAAGAGAGATGGAGAAAGAAACAGAGAGAGACAGACAGAGAGGTAAACAGGTGGAGAGAGTGGGGAGAAAGAGACAGGGAGAGAGAAAAAAGACAGACAGACAGAGAGGGAGAGAGAGGTGAGGGAGGGACTCACGAGGACGAGTAGATTTGCTGAGAATTTTACTGATTATTCCTTTAATTACAGTGATATTATTTTTTCAGATCTATAGAGATGAAGTAATATATCTGCGTCTATTTAATATTATTTGTCTAGATCTATGTTAACTTAAGCCAAAAATATGTCTTACAGTTTCTGGCCAAGGGAGGCAGGGGAGTTGCCTAAAATATGCGATAGAATCCACAGACCTAGATCTAGTAACCCAGTGAACTAACTACTGACGGCACTACATTTTCTCACGACTTGACAGCATCGCCATGGCAGCGATCACCGCGCGTAAGTGTTTTCGCGCCCCGTGCCAGGCGATACGCGAAACAATGCACTGTTGTTATGGAGCGCCGCCACGAGTGTCACCTCTCTATTACCGTAAACCCTCTCTGGTCCAGACTCTTTTCCCATCCCTGCTTTCTCAAAACTTGCTGGACTCTCACTCACCATCCCTCTTACTTCCGTGCCCTGTGAGTGTGGTTTTTCAGCTCAGAATCGTGTTCATACAGCACTCCGCAGTTCACTGACCACAAAGGCTGTTAACAACATTGATCATTTTGGCATGAAAACAAGCATGAGGCAGTTTTATTTGATGAAAAGGAAGTGATCCAGGAGACTTGTGAGATTTTCATGAGGGAAAAAAAATCGGAGTCTGTAAAGACTTGCATGTGAACCCTTGGATGGCTCTGAAGGATAATGATTCAGCTTATTTGCTTTGTGTATTACAATTGGAATTGACCCTTTTTGGTTTGTCATTTTTATTTTACTTTTTAACTGGCTCAACCACCACCACACCCCACACCCCCAGTGGACAACTCTCAATGGTAGTCAGTATTAATCATTTATTTCTTTTTACAATGAAACCTTACAGTTAATTAAAAAAATTGTTAACAATCAATCATAGTCATGGTCACTCTGTATTAAGATTTTTTTTGAAAAAACAGTGAAGGAACCTCTTAAGTTGGCCTGAAAAGGGGAGCCCTGTATCCCCATAATTTCTAACAACATACGGATCTAAGTAACACTGCTTGTGGCTAAATCTCTGAACAGAAGAATAGGAACCAGATAATAAGTGGGACGTTCATATGTCTTAAACCTATTGCAAACTTTCGTGATGTCCATTGGCGCGCTACAAAACTAGAAACTTATTGTGCATTTTTTAAACGTGCCAGGAATGTCTTGAAGTAAAGAAGGGGTCTGGTTATGCAACTAATTTTATTTTTTATTTACTTTTTGAAAGAGTATTTTCTCAGTTTAAGTGTTATGGACTCTTGAGTACGCTTAATGTTCTTGAGATCTGCAAATGGTTCTAATGTGACTTTTTGTCAGATTCAGTTATGATCAGGGCTCTTTATTTCTCAGAACTATAACATAGCAGTTATGTTTTGTCGTTTTCAGAATTTCGACAGGCTTAATCAGCGTACAAACCACTACACACCAATCCCAGCAGGATGCTCTCCTTTGAAGAGACCAACAGAGGAATATGTGAGGTAGGCTGCTTTTTTGCCCTGTGAATGTAGTTTCCTATAGGTAGATGGTGGTTGGCGGGTGTTCTGGTATGGTTTGCTTCTTCTTTCCTATCAAATTTCTATAGTGGTTGGTGGTTGGCGGGTTATCTGGTATGGTTTGCTTCTTCTTTCCTATCCAACATCTATCATCCTTCTCTCCCCTCCTTTTTTGTGTTTGTTACTCTCTTGTAGCACCTCTAATCTTCAGCACTTATATGACCTGATTGTGTTGCAAGTGCCGTTAAACACTTACTAAAACAAAAAAGGTAGATAGTTTTAGGGTACCATTGGTAGTTCCTATTTATCACTCGTTCTTTTTTTGTTGTTTCTGTTTGTCTTGCTTTCGTCAAGAGGTGATAGACCATAGACGTGTTGATTGACCTTTGTTTTGCATGAATAATTTGGAAATGTATCTGCAATAATGAGTCTTATTGAGCTTTTATTGTGGTCTCTAAAGCAGTTTTTCCACTGCATATCTGTCTGTTTATTGGACAGAGTTACTGTCTTTGTGACACTTTGAGTATTTTGTAACTCTGCAAATTGTATTATACATTTTCTTAATGGTTATAGACGTTTTGGAGAGCACCAAATTTACATTCCTCAGTTGTACTTTCTGCCATTTCAACTAGAAGGGATCCAATATGACAGATTTAAATAGTGCTTCTTCATGGAATTCTGTCGCTCTTATTCACTACCAAATGGCTTCAAATTTTTAAAGTCAATATGTTTAGCATTGGATGAATGCAAAAACATTCTTGTTGCTATGGTCTGGTTCTGTGTAGGTCTGGATTCATCAACTTGGACAAACCATCCAACCCGTCGTCCCATGAGGTTGTAGCATGGATCAAGAGAATTCTGAGAGTGGAAAAGACCGGCCACAGTGGTACTCTTGACCCCAAGGTTACCGGATGCCTGATTGTGTGCATTGAGAAAGCCACTCGACTGGTGAAGTCACAGCAGGGAGCTGGGAAAGAGTATGTCTGCATTTTTGAGCTTCACAACCCTGTGGAGGATGAGAGGAAAGTCAGACTGGTAAGATTTTTTTTTAAAAAATCTTTGTTTTGTTATTTGTGTGTGTGGGGGGGGGTATTGGATTGAAAAATAAATAATTTACTTCAGCTCTGGTGGTAGCATTTCTAAAACTCCAAATGTTCTTCAAAGATCTGAGAGTTGTATTTTTATATTCATAGTTTGTAAGGAAGTAGTTTTGTTATCCTTCACATTTCTCTCCCTTTGTAATGTCTGTTTTACCAGCTCTTTTGAACCACTATATTACAAGAGCAAAGTGTAGCTCATGGTGGGGTTGTTTTTTTTCTCCCTCAGTGCTTGGAAGGGATCAAAGGTGCCATGTTCCAGAGACCTCCGCTGATATCTGCTGTCAAGCGCCAACTTCGTATCAGAACTGTGTATGATGTAAACATGCTGGAGTATGACAAGGAAAAAAATATGGGTAATCAGAAATTATTTTTTTGGATCGACTGAGAAGTTATATAATTTCTTTGCTACAGTGAAAGGTTTTATATTTGTATGCAAATGACTGCCTTAGCCATAAAAACAAATCTGTTAAATGAATTAATTTAGCCGAATGTTATTATTGCAGTCAAGCACAGAAATTCACGGATATCTTGAACAATACAGTATTCCCCAACTGAACCGCTTCACTCTTTCTTTTTCCTTCTTCAGTTTTAGATAAGGTTCACACTCTATCATTCTTTCTGTAATAGTTTCCACTTAAGAAGATGGTGCTCGTGAGGGCTCCTTAGCGTGCGTTAACATGAACCAGGGGGCTTTCACCTGTTATTGTGCTGCTGCGTTGCTAATTTCCAAGCATGCCATTTTGCCCAACCGGTCTGCTGTGTTTTTGTGGCCATTTGCATCCTTTTATGGGCTTTCTTGTAAGTGGTTTGTTTACTCTTTATGCCATGACACTCAGTTACATTTTTTTTAGGGTAACTTAACCCAAATCATACAAATCCATGTAAACTACTTATGTGATCTATGATCCAACATTAAATTGTGTGCTGCTGCTGTTTACCTCAGGTATATTCTGGGTGAGCTGTGAGGCAGGCACATACATTCGTACCATGTGTGTGCACCTGGGTCTCTTCCTTGGGGTTGGAGGGCATATGAGAGAACTGAGGAGAGTGCGTTCTGGGATCCAGAGTGAAAAGGTGATAACTTGTTTTCTTTTATATTTAGTGATTAGTTATGGTTGTCGATTAATCCTTTGGGAAAATAAATTTTTGTAGCCTATTATTTTCTCATATATTATATGAGAATGTTGGGAGAATTAACTTGTAACTTGGCAATTCATACCTTGTGTGAAGTTTGTTCATCTGTTAATGAAATTTTTGTCACAAATTTGAAAACAAAATTCTTTTGATGTTTTATGGTGGGCTCTGAATATTCTTCTATTGGCTTTTGGCACTTTTTTAGCACACAGTTAGCATTTGTAAAAGAATTTACTTATGAATGAATTACAGTCGAACCTTCTCTGTTCAGGACGATCACCTGTACAACCCCCACCCGCATATTTTAATATATTGTAATATTGTATTGATACTGCCTGAGGGGTCCATCTACTGAAATGACCCATTTTTCTCCTCGACAAGTGATGATCGTCTCGGACAGCTTTGACTAATTATTTGGTGCGACTTTTGTTAGTAAGTTTAAGATCAGAGGGTACACCAATGTTATAAAGGATTCCAATCCTGTCTGCCAAATGACAGGAGGGAATGGTGACGATGCACGACGTGTTGGACGCACAGTGGGTGTATGACAACCAGAAGGATGATACGTACCTGCGCTGTGCTGTGCGACCTCTGGAACTGTTGCTCACTGCACACAAGAGGATTATCATTAAAGATTCAGCGGTGAGTATTCCGTTAAAGGTTGATCTTGATTTTTTTACCTTGAAAATATATTTCATTGGCTGTTAACCCAAATTAGCTTCATTTTGATCACAATGCCAAAAATGACCAAATTAAGTAACAAAGCTGATCTGGATTGCTGCTGCTTGTCGTAAATACATATACAAGGGGGTTACCCTATTTTTAAAAAATAAATTTGTAAAGTGTTTTACGGCACTCGCAATTGCATAAGGTCATATGAGCGCGCGGGACACACCTAATATTTTCAGTTGGTAGGAAATTTTGAATTTTGCCCGGGTGGCGGCCGAAGCCTACTCTTATTGATTTTAGACCACCAAGGGATCTTTAACGTGCGCAACTTGCACACGGGCCCTCCGAGATTTTTCGCTCTTATCCGAGAAGGCTAGGTGTAGATCTTTCCTACCAGAAGATCAGGGGTGTGGCAGAAAGACGGCAGTAAGGAGGAGCCATGGAGTAGCAGTAGAAAGGCTGCAGAAAGAGCCGAGAGAAGGGGGCAAAGGAGGTGAGGGGGTGGGGGCAGAAAGTGGAAATGAAAGCAGACAACAGAACATTGCTAGAGAGCAGGAAAGAAGGTGAAAGGAGACAATTTTAGAGAAGAAAATTTTTCGGTCGCTACCCGGATTCGAACCCAGGACCTTTTGAATGAGAGGCCCACACCTTAACCTCTAGGCCACGAGAGCCCCCTTTACCCTATTTGAGCTTCAATGTGAATATAAAGATGAAGTAGAATCTTGAAACTTAGTAAACTCGAGCAATACTACTTTTTAAAATCTAGAATTTTGAATAAATTTTTTTTAGCCAAGAGACCTACAATGATTTTGAAACCATCTACGACACATAACTTGTATAAGTAGGCCTATGCTTTTTGTGTTATAAGTTTTTTTTATACATGTTCATATGAAAGCCATTCAGATTTGATTCGGTTAGCATCATTTCAAAATACAAACAAGCATTTTTGTCTGTTTGGTGGAAAGTTGGATCCCTCTAAGCCTGGGGTAGCCCTTTCAGTGAAAGTAAAAGCAGCTGGTTTTCTCTAAATGATTTATATTGTGTCAATGAGGGAACAAAAACTTCACATTATAATTTATTAGGGATAGAGTTTGTAGTAAAACTTTGATGATTTGTTCAGGTGTGTGCTGTATGCCATGGAGCCAAGGTTCTCCTTCCTGGTGTGCTGCGCTATGAGGACGGGATCGAGGTGGGACAGGAGATTGTTATTGTCTCGACAAAGGGAGAAGCTGTCGCTTTAGGTCAGTTTGTACTTTTTCTCCTTTAAGAGTGCTTCTTTTACAGCATTTTTGACTTGGATTCTTAAAGTATTTGGCATTTGAGACTTTTTAATCTACTCTATGACAGTTCCTACTTTTAAAATAGACGATATGAAAGAAAGAAATATGAAAACTTCAATGCAAGTTTTGTGCAGAAGTCTTTAAATTCTGTATAGTATTTCAGAAATCCTGACTTATTTTAACCCATTGTTGACTAAGGCCCTTGCCAGAGAGCTGCTCCCCTGGAACTGGGCATTTTACCTATGCTTCAGCAAATGGACCAGCAAACTGGGGTAGCCTCAGTAAAATGCTTGCAGCTCTGTTATTTAAGGATTGAACCACCATAAAGTATATATTTTTGTAAAGGAAATTGAATTGTGAATGTGTTCATGTGGTTTTTGTGCTATTTGAATGAAGGATTATTTTTTTTCAAAAAAGGCTAAAAATTGTACTGCTGAAAACCCTCAAATACATTTTTTTGTCAGCTAACAACCACATTGTTCGCATAAAAAATATGGAGCATTCAAAGTCCTTCACCCTGAAACAAAATTATTGAAATCTATTGTTGTAGAAGTTATGCCAATTTGAAAAAGGTCACCCGTTATGAGTGCAGAGATGCCAACCGGTAGGATTTTACGTATTTTAGTACGATTTTTGCCGAAAATACGCGAATACGACTTTTCATGACAAATTATGCATTCTGGAATGCGAAAAATACGAGATTCAGTGAGTAATCCTAGTTATCTCAAGTCCAATCTTTTGTCAAAATAGTTTCAGTATCGCGGAACTGGAATATTTGAAAACCAAGTCCGATAAGGTCAGTAAGTTCAATTTTGCCGGTCGCGATTGTGATTTTATATTCATTCAGCTTTTCCGCGTCCGAGAGTACGTTTCACTTTCAGGCGGAAGTGTATGTGACACCGAGGCTCGATCGGGAAAATGAAGATCTACTTTCGCTTTCGTTACCACCCAGAAGTTTGCCAGCAGTAGTCTGATATGATAACGCAACATTAGTGACATGCAGGTTGTGTAGTACAAACGCTGTGTCACCGTGCAAATAAAATTTAATCAATTCTCGGACTCGTCTCTGTGCTTTCACTTGTGTGAAAAAAAGAAAAGAAAATACTAGCGTCATCTGATTTTTAGATTGCGTGGCTCACCGTCGTGACCGGTCAGTGACCCTGCACCCATTCGCATCGCGGCATCGTATGAGCAAAGGCCGTCTTTGGTGGGAGTAATGGCATTGCGAATTAAAGGACTATGGAATAGAGGGGGGGTATTGATTTTTTTTAAAAGATACACTGGGGGGGGGGGGTGTCAAGGCAACACCGGAGGACAAAAACTTGGAAGCAATTTCAATATTTTGATTAGAGCTCTGGGACACTTCATTCTTTGCAAGTCCTTGTTAGTGAAATAAAGTGTTCACGTTTCATTGGATGGGTGATAATAAATTATACCTACAGTGTATGTTGTAGCTTTCTGTTCAAGACTGGCAGATTTTCAGTTTCACTGCATCTTGCCCTCCCACGGTTGTTACAACTCTCACAGTGCATGGGTCTACTTGAGCCTTTCAAGTTATTGCTCTTCTCTGAGTTTGACCCATACTTTTAGTCTGTCAGTTCATAACATGAATCATGACACCCAGACTGGTTCTTGATAGTCGAAATCTTGTTCTAGGCCCTTCCGAACGCTCAAAGCAGGATTAATTTTTTATATAATAATGAGACGAAAATATTATAATAGACTGAAATACTTTAGTCAAACAAGACCCCAGTACAACACTGAACACTAACATGTTGACTGGATACATGTATATTGTACGCGTGTGTGCTCCCTTTTTCGGGCTGGTGAGCTAGTAATTTTTTTTCAGGAAATATTGCTGGACATCCTGAACATTTTACTAGTTGGTCGGTCGTGGGTGAAATACACATTTTCCCCTGAAAATACACATTTTCATATCTCCCAATACTCATTTCGGTTTTCTGTGGCTGGCGTCTCTGCAACAGTTTAAAAAAATTTGCAGTAACTGTAACAGATGTATCGAGGCTGTTTTGAATTGATAGCCTTTTATAGATTTGTCTACCACTATCACTAAACTAAAGGTAATGATAACGCTACGCCGTAATACATTGAAAAGATTTGAACAACTAGTAATTTTCTCAAATCATTTACAAAAAAGTATAGATCTAATCAGAATTTACAGCATACACTCTCAAATATGAAAAGAATACAAGTGTAGGCCTATAATCAATGGTCTTATGGCAGAGAGAGGGCAGACAGTGAAACAATGAGAGAGTTGGGGGAAAGAACTGTAATTCTATGGTGGATACTGGAGATACACACCTCAGAACTGATGAACATGTTTGTTCATGAAGATTTGTAGTTGTCCACTGGTCTTGAAAAAAGACGTACTTGTTCTCAGCATCGTCGAACAATCCCCAAACCTAGATCTAGTATTAGCGTCATCTTCTTGCATTGTCGATAGAAGCAGAACTATCGTACGCACCCCTCCAAGTTGCAAGGGGCGCCTTTAACAGATCCATCCACCTCCACATCACTCCCGTCGCTAAAATCTCCATTCTCAACATCGTTTCCCTTTCAAATATCGTCATGAAAAGATTCAGCTGCAAAACAATGCATTTTGCACAAAGATTCTCGCACGCGGAGTGAAACAGTCTGTCAGCGTGAAACGCACTTGGCGAACCGGGAGAAAGCGAAAGCACATTCTTGTGTACAGATGTGACAAAAAGTAAAGCTGTTCGCATGCGCAGGTCTCTTTTCGGTATTATTTTTAGTAATTACATCAGCCCTCTGTGGTTTCCGTTGCTAATTATAGACACTTTCGGTCATTGTTTTAGAGCCAATGAGAGCACGCGTTGCTCTCATACCCCACGTTACTTTCTGCGGGAATAGGAAAGTAATGAGTCATCTTACGATGACTATTTTGAACTCTTATTACGGGCAGAAGAATGACCTTTCGGACAGTACCAAACATGATAGGGTAGATGGCATTGAAACGCACGTAACCAAGGTTAGAAAATAGGCAACATTTGCTGTTCAGAGGAGCTAACGACCACTAACTTTTTAGGGTAGTCTATAAAAAAGCTTCTAACACAATAATGATTCATGTTTTCTAGCTTGACTTTGATTGATAGAATTCCTAAATGGATGAGGTACCCATTATGGAACATACCAACTTCATCGGTCCCGTGCTCGTCTTGTGATATCAACAAAATGTGCCCGTGCGTACCTCACGGGTTTGCCAGTATGAAAGGATATCTACACATCGGCGCGTATGCCGCTATCAATGGGTTAAATATGTAATATTACAGGTCTTGCCTGTTGGTGGTTTGTGATAGTGTTCAGGTCCTAATGAGGTCAATTCTTCTTTTCAGTGTATTTTTATTGTTTGTCATAATCCACTGTGAATTTTTTTGTTGTCATTGAGGTGACTCTTGACTGAATTTGGAGGTGGTATCTGGTGGGCAGGTCCTACTTTTTTCAGTTCCCATCTGGTCTTTCTGTCTCCCTGTCTTCTTTTTTTTTCAGCCTTAAATGACTATCATTGATTGTCTATGTATTATTCTATCTTTACTCAAACTCTTCTGTGGATGGTTGGAGGCCGCCACTGGAAGGTCCTACTTCTTTGCTTTCCCTCTATTGTTCGTGCCTGTCTGTCTTACTTTTTCCCGAGCCCTAAATGACCATTATTGTGTCATTCTGCTGTTCTATCTTTACTCAAACAAAAATGAGACGGGTATCTCTTTTGGTCTTGACAGCTATTGCTCAAATGACGACTGCTGTGATGGCCACCTGTGACCATGGTGTGTGTGCTAAGCTGAAGAGGGTCATCATGGAGAGAGACACGTACCCCAGGAAGTGGGGGCTGGGGCCAAGGGTAAGTCACAGCAGACTGTACCAGCATATGTAGTGTAACAGTTAGAATGCCATTGAAAATTCAATTTTTCGTGTTATCCTTTTAAAAAAAATTTGGTACCTAAGAGAGTTTTCAGTTCTAAGAATTATGTTTTTTGAATTTCAAGAATTGGGTTTATAAATTGAAAAGTTATGGGGTTGTAAAAGTCAGCAAAATATGGATGACCCACATATAGGAAAATACTCCTAAAAGTGGACCACGCAGTAGCAGGTTCTGTAAGAAAATCGACGATATCTCAGTAATTAATTGGAGTGTTAGTGAGAAACTTGGCTACCCAATGTGTGTTTGGGTGGAAAAATCTTTTCTGCTGTTTGATTTACTAACCGTTTCGTAGTTATTTTGTTATAATTGAAATTTTGGTGCACATATTTCATTTTTGCAAAAAAGGGGTGTCAGGATGAGAGCCTTTTATTTATCAGGGCTTTCAGTCTTCCGCAATTTTGCGGATTTCCGCAAATTAGCAGAATTCTGCGAATGGAAAAATTTCAGTGAAAATCCCCCAAAAAAAAATAATTGTCAAAAATTGCGAAATAAAAAATTTCTGTTATTACTAATAGTCAACTATAGCCAACCCATACTGGCAGTGCTCTTTTATTTGAAAGTGTAGACTGTGTCTTTCACTTTCTTAAGCTCAAGAAACAGAGCACCAGCTCTGTAAACAAGAGGAAGGAATGACGATTGTGGTTCAATATGTCTTGGGGCGGGCCAAGAAAAGAAAACTCTAAAGAGAGCTTGATTTTTCTTACCAGACTTGTTTATTATAGTACGAAGGTGACACCAAAAGTATAGGTTAATTTATGTGTATGAACTTCGACTTCCACATATCAATAGTTGCCAAGTTTCATTCGCATTGGTCCAGAATTAGAGCAGTACGAGCCCGAGAAAGTTAGTCACTAACGTTTCGACCCGGTCCAAAAGTTCACCCGCAAGCGGGAACCAAATTTTTTCCACGTGCGGAAGCCCGATTGGCATTGGTGAGTTAGGAGCTTTGCTGGCGCACGCATGATACCTGAGTGGGGAGAAAATATAGTATCTTTCAGCTGGATTGTTGTGTCCCTCTCAGCTTGGGTTGGCCATGACAGGCAGGATGGGAAACCTGCCTCTCAAATGATCGAAATTGTGTCGATTAGCACCTGCAAAAAATTTTTTTTAAACCAGACTGTCCCCCCTGTACACATGCATATGAGGGGCTCTGAGGAAACCGGTTGCAACGGAAACATTTTTATTTTTATAAGCTGATGTTTTGGCTTGTTTTGATAATAAAGCTTTATCTTTCTTTTTGAGCGTCTCACATTTTAATAATAGATTTTGGATGCAATCTTATTGCTCTTCAAAAAGCATTGGGTCTGAAAATGGATTGTCAGAAATTGACTACTTTGAAAGTTTTTTTTCAATGAGACTATTTAAAAAGTGAAAACAAAGTTTGTTGTTCCTCTGTCATCCTATCTTGTTTAGTGTACTTACGACCTTAGAGCATGCATCAAAATAACATTGAGTGTGTATCTAGCTTACGGTTATTATTGTTTATATTGCTGCTCATTTATATTATGTATGTGATTGTAAGCCTACTTGTGTGTACATGTGCGTGCACGTGTGTGTGTGTGCGTGTGTGTGTGTACTCGTGGTGGAACACCATACCAATGTGCCAGGATCTGGACAATAAAGATGTATCTTATCTTATCTTATCTTATCTTCTTGTTCTCTAATATTTATGTGCATTGAGTGTACCTGGGAAGACAGGAAATCTTTTGTTCAGTATGTCACAGTAGAAGTTTTCTTGAAAATTGATGTCCGTCTGCAGAGGAGAGCAGTGTCAAATTTATCAAAATTGTTCCTCTTTGTGTCATTAGAATAACTGATGATAAATATTTCAAAGAGAAGCTTTGCCAAAATATTTTATTAAAGCTTTAGTAATAATTGTATAATACACTCTTCCCTCCATATGTGTTTTCTCAGAGATACTCACATGTATATGTATGACTGGAATGTATTTTTATCTCCAGTCGATGGCACAGTGTAGATCATTTTAGATGTTGGTTTCTTAGATGAGGGCCAACCCGGACTGAATGGGATATATAGCGTCCCAAATAAGAGGCAAGATATTTGGTACTTGATAAAATAAACTTCCTTCGAATGGGAATCAACCTGACAAAAATGCCGCAAGCTGCAACTGGGCTCTGAGGTTGGAAGATTCTCTCTCCACCGATGGAGGTTGGTGTAAGCCCTTGTTTAGTCTGCTCTTTCTTTCTATTGTATCTTATGGTAATATAACGAATCTGGCCATTATTGTGTGGACTTGGAATGAACTTCAACTGTGTGTGTTTTGTCTTCTCTTCAGGCCTCCCAGAAAAAGCAGATGGTAAAACAGGGCATTCTTGATAAGTATGGAAAGCCAAATGAAAACACACCCACAAACTGGAACCCAGCCATTGAAGATTTCAAGTGAGTTGTTTTTAGTACTCTCTCTGACTTAACAATTTTTTAACATTAAAGTATTTTCAGTTGCTTCAAAGTAGGCCTACTTGATAAGTTGAGGAGTTTTTGGATGATGGAATGAGCTCTCTGCCAAGTTTTCAATTGGTGGAATACTAAGTTGTTAGGGGTTGTTGTTTTTTGCATGTGCTCTGGTGAGGTTTGCTCCTTCTTTCATATGAAACATCTGTTGTCCTTATCTCTCTTTCATTTCATCGTATGTTACTCTAGCGATACCGCTAATATTTAGCGCTTACATGATCTTATTGTGTTGCCATCGCTGTAAGATCCTTTCTTAAACAATCATATATCTATGGCATTGGTTGTTCTGTATTCCTTGTTTGATTTATAAAACTAGTCTGTCTTCACATCTATCTCGCATTACACCTTTTTTTTTTTTAAATTGATGATTGCTTTGTATCTTTTTGTCTTGTCACTTAACCCACATATACCCATTTCTCTTCAGTGTTGGCAGCAAAACGAAATCTGCAGCAAGTCCAGCAGCAATGTGAGTCAACATGTCTGTTGTGTGCTGCAATTGTCCTTGGTGGTTCTGAACATTTCTTCTTGCGGGGAGGGGGGGGGGGGGGGGGGGGGGGTGATGGGTGCTCTACTGACGCCTCCTCTCTACTGCTTTCTGTAAATTTGCTTTCCCAACCTATTCGTCTTTGTGAATGAGTGTTTGGTAGGTGCTCTAGTGTGATGTATTCCATTTTTCCTGTCTTACATCTGTCATCATTATGTCTTCTCTTATTTTGTTAAGTATGTCTCTCTCCAGTAATACGTCCCACCTCTCGTCTTTCTGTATGTTACTTGAGTAACACCTGATCTTCAGCACTTTCGGCTACACACTACTTTTTGGCACCACAGTTTACAAATGAGTGATTTTTACTTGCTAGCATAATTTTATTTGAAATTGCATGGTGCACCTATGCTCGAAATTTTGTGTTTTTATCTTGAATGATTTTTTAGTTTTTAGTTTTTAAAGTCATGAAATGAACATTTTGAGAACAGGAGCAAAAACAGAACAAGACTACTTTCAAACATTGTATTGGCTCTGAATGAAACAAACTTTATGGAGCTATCTCTTTCAAATAGGACTTTTGAGATTGTTTCCTTTTGATTCAGCATATAATGTTGAATGGGAAGTTTCTTTAAACCTCCAAAGCATTGTCTGATCCCCAAAACTCATGTGTGGTCTTAAATTACCTGTTGGTGTTGCAAGTGCCCCAAACTAATACTAAATTTAATAAAACCAGGCATGATCGCATTCTCTTTTTCAGGACACCGGTGGCGACCAAGAAGAGAAAGCACGACAGTAGCTCAGACAGTGAGGCTGCTGAAACCTCTGCTGTGGAAACTCCTGCCAAAACTGTCGGCTCTGAGGGTGATGCAACTGATGAGAAGAAAAAGAAGAAGAAGAAAAAGAAGGACAAGGAAAGGGTGAAAGAGGATGACAGCGATGCTGAGGTAGTTTGCTAATACTAGACCTTTCTTTTTTTTTCTTCTTTTTTTAAAAATGCTTGTTTATAGGTCTGCTGTGTGAGGGATGGCATTTCACTGGCACCTGGAAAAAAGTGGTGTGTTTTCATAAAGATCATCACTTTCATTGTTTTTTCTGTAGTACAGTGACACTGACCAAGACATTCATATGTTTAAGACCACCACTTGTCTCCCCACGGCAGCCTAAATCTACCGACTTTTCCTTTAGTTACCGATTTTGTGCCAGTTCTACCGCCATACCTATAGAGAGGTCAAAACTATGGCATTTGCGAAGGGCGCGAGAGTAAAAGACAACAAATAGCCCGTTCTGCAGTGTTTCCAATTCTTCCCAGTGTTTTAGAAATCTGCACATTGCGAATGTCCTGTATTTGCTGCTTCATCCTTTTTCAACTCCATGCGTTTTTTAAAAAAAGAGAGGGACGGTAGATCCATTTGCTTTATCGGCATTCAGCAGCATAGGATCTGTACTTGCATTGGTAACTTCTCTGATAGTTTTCACGTGCAAATCGGATAACTGGTAATCTTCCTCCTACCTTTCACTCATGCTTTCTGTCTATTTTCGGGGGTTTTTTTGTTGCGGCTGGAAAATTTGTGCATTTGTCAAGAAAACTGGGTATTAGAGCAAAACTTTGGCAAATCTGTCTAGATCTAGAAAATTGTTCAATACCTGCATGTGGATTTTATGGCCGCGGAATAAAGCAAAGGTGTAAGGAACTGATGCTAAAATATTTTTAAAAACCTCCGAAGTTTGAACATTTGACAGTCGAGAGAGTAAATGAAGGAAAATTAGAGTACAGGCTTGGTGATTGTATTGTCAAGATTAGTGTTTGCCTTCTGTCAGTAATGTGATGACAAATTGGATAGTGGCAATGGAGAATGCCATTTTCAACCCCTGGAAAGCTCAAAATTTCAGATTCTTCCCGGGTTTTGCACCTCAATCCGTCACTGGGCCTTGCTGGGGGGGTATATTTGAGGGGAAAAAGAAACATCTCTTTTAGATACATTTGAACTTGAAGTGCCTGACGCGATGCTGGAGGATAAGATCTGGGAACAAAATTTTATGACTAGAGCTCTGTGCGGCATAGCACCCCTATATTGGATGCCTATGCATCTCGATAGCTTGTTAATGATTAAAACTGGTTCTGTGATTTAGCAATTTGAAAAACATCAATGCTAAGTCCATGTGCAGTGATTGCCAGATTTTTAACACCTCCACATCTGACACTCTCACAGTCCTTCCAGCTCCGGCTCTCAGAACATGCTCTCTTCTAATCTCACTTTTTGCTCTGCTGTGACCCTAACTTTAATGTTTTTCTTTAAATAAGTTTTGTCTTGCTTGCTTTTTAAAATCTGAACGTTGAAACCCAAATATGGTCTGTACAGTTGGTGTGGAGGCCTTTCCACAGGCTCAGATCAGGATTTATTTTTAGAGGAAAGCTAGTTAAAATATGTCATGCCTTACTCACACAGGACTTGCCAGTGCTTTCTGGGTACACCATTGTCTTCACTCAATTCCACATTCAGTACAGTTAATGCTGATTGAATAGATGCCTTGGACGACAGTCCATTAAATGCTTTCTAAAAAATTCGTCTCGTTTCACAAATGCTGTTTACCTTCACTTGTGTTATGCACACCCATACCCCCCGCAGCGGTGTCACTGACTCAAGTGTCTTTAGGCCATTCCCAAAGGGGGGACCAGAGGTGCCAACCAGTACGATTTTACGTATTTTAGTACGATTTTTGGCCGAAAATACGCGAATACGACTTTTCATGAATAAATACGCATCCTGGAATGCGAAAACTACGAGATTCAGCTTGGGCGAGTAAACTTAATTAACTCAGGTCCCATCTTTTGTCTAAATAGTATCAGTATCGCAGAACTGGAATATTTGAAAACCAAGTCCGATGTGGTCAGTATTGCCGGTCGCGATCGTGATATATTGGTTCATCTTTTCCCCGTCTGGAGAGTACTTTCGCTTTCGTTACCACCGAGAAGTTTGCCAGCAGTTGTCAGATAACTCAACATTTGTGGCATGCAGGTTGTGCAGTATAAACACAATGTCGCCGTTCAAATAAAATGTAATAAATACTCTGACTCATCGCTGTGCTGTCACTTGTGGAAAGAAAAGAAAAGAAAATACAATCGTCGTCTGATTTTTAGATTGTCTGGCTCGCCATCGTGACCGGTCACTGACCCTGTGCGCATTCGCATCACAAATAAATGCGGCATCGTGTGAGCAAAGACCGTCTTTGTGGGAGTAGCAGCCTTGCGAAGTATATGACTACGGAATAGGGGAGGAGATTATTGATTTTTTTCGGGGGGTTTAAGATACTATCAGGGGTTTAAGGCAACACCAGAGGACAAAAACTTGGAAGCACTTTTCAGAATTTTGATTACAGCTTTCTGCAAAGCCCTCGTTGGTGCAGACCATGTGCGGAATCGGGACCCCTCATACTTTGCAAGTCTGTGTTATTGAAATAAAGTGTTCGCGTTTCATTGGATGGGTGATAGTAAATTATACCTACTTGGATTGGTGATAGTAAATTATACCTACAGTGTATGTTGTAGCTTTCTGTTCAAGACTGGCAGATTTTCAGTGTCACTGCATCTTGCCCTACCACAGTTGTTACAACTCTCACAGTGCATGGGTCTACTTGAGCCATTCAAGTTATTGCTTTTCTCTGAGTTTGAGCAATAATTTGAGTCTGTCAGTTCATAATATGAATCATGACACCCAGACTGGTTCTTGATAGTCGAAATTCTTGTTCTAGGCCCTTCCGAACCCTCAAAACAGGATTTATTTTTTATATAATAATAATGAGAGGAAAATATTATATAATAGACTGAAATACTTAAGTCAAACAAGACCCCAGTACAACATTGAACATTAGACATGTTGTTGACTGGATACATGTATATATTGTACGCGTGTGTGCTCCCTTTTCCGAGCTGGTGAGCTAGTAATTTTTTTTCAGGAAATATTGCTGGACACCCTGAACATTTTACTATTACTGGTTGGTCGACCATCGATTTATTTATAGAGGCACCAGCCATCCATGTCCAGGTGCTGTTTTAGCCTACTGGTCGGTCGGTCGGTCGTGGGGAATACACATTTTCGCCTGAAAATACACATTTTCATATTTCCCAATACTCATTTCGGTTTTCTGTGGTTGGCATCTCTGGGGGACTTTTCTCGTTCTAAAACACATTAGAATTGTAAATGGGCGGATCCAATAATGTCATGCTCATAACTGTGCCTGAACTACAACAGGGAACTGCTGCTTTTTCTTTCCTAATCCTATCGTCATTCCTCTACTTCTTTTGTATGTTTGTCACACTCTTGTGGCCTGCTATTTCTGTGGTGCCTTGATAGTCGAAGCAGAATTTGTGCTGTTGAAGTTAGAAAGGTTTGCAAAGTAAGTCTTGATTCCCTGTAAGGACTTCTCTGTTGACATCAGCCCCTTTGCGCTCATATGACCTTTTGCAGTTGCGAGCGCTGTAAAAACCCTACTAAAACCAAATAAAATAATATGCACACCCAAGCACCATGCAGCCACCAGACCCCCCCCCCCCCCCCCCCCCTGCAAGATTTTCATTGTACTTTTCAGCTCCAGCTGTTGGAAGCACAAGACTCTCTCTCTCTCTCTCTCTCTCTCTCTTCCTCTCTCTCTTCCTCTCTCTCTCTCTCATACACACACACGTTTTCAAAATATAATTACCCAATATCATGAACAGCGTGCCCCACTCGATGGTAATTACGTGTTCCGGAGCAACGATCATCTTTTTTTTGTCTTTGTACTACCTGATTTGGGGCCAAAATACCTGAAACTGACCATGAATATATCTGAAACAGGAACTTTGAGGTATGCTTCCCTCTACCCTACAATAAGTGGTGTTACCGGACATTTTAAAATGAATTCAGTAGTGACCACACAGTATTGAAAGTTCTGGAGTGGCAAAACTTTCAGCGCTGGTGCAGCTGGCTGTGACAATGTTGGCTTACAATACAAACTGCAAGTCTCTTGTTGATTTTTCCCTTTCTGTTTTATTTACGCAGAATTTACTGATCATTGACTGTATATTAATAATGGCCAGTTCAGGTGAAGCTTTCACTTTCGTCTATTTTGTTTTGCAGGTCAAGTCTGAAAAGAAGAAGAAGAAGAAAAAGAAACAAAAGAAGGAAGAGTCTGACTCTGACTAAACGACTAGAGTCTTTGAGGGGACAGCGTTGTTTTATCAGGAAAGAAAGTTTTTTATCATGGGCAATAATTGTGTGAAAGTATGCATGAATGAAGAATATCACCAAAGAAGTCTTTTAGTTGCAGTTTGAAAGGAACAGATTCATAAATATGTTTATATCCCATTTTATCTTGAAGAGACTGGCTTGAAAGCCCTTGGCCAATCCTTTCTTTTTTGTTGTTGTTACAAAACATTGCGGACAATACATAAAATGACCTCTCTATTGGCTTCAGTGTTGTTTTGATGTATATTGTTTTTGTCATGGCACTTACTGCTTTTAGCTTTTTTAACATGGTAATAAATATAATGAGCCAGCATTGAAGACTGGATGTTTTAAGGGGCTCCACACAAGCAAGGATCTGGCCCAGGCCCTATCATTTAGGTTAACCCTAATATTTTTTCACCAGCCTTAGAGTGCAATGGTGTGGTAAAAAATAAATCCCCATTCCTGTTTTTTAAATGGGTTTTTGGCTCCTGATTCCTTATCGTGTCAAATTTACTTTGGATTCGATACTTATCTATATCAGTTTGATGTTAAAAAATTCTATATGAAAAAAAAACCAATCCCTCATCCTGTGCCGAAAGTCAGACAAACTAGCGATATTCCCAGGCATGCCTGCTGTGTGTGTTTTAAACATAACCATTGGCCACTTCAGAGGCAAGCTGCTTTCTACCCAGGCTGGGTGAGATATAACTTTCTTGAAGACGAAAGTACAGTCTGTGCCGGCTTTAAGCACGTCGGCATAAAGCACGTTTCGGACTCAAGCGCGCTAAACGGCTCTGACCGAATTTTTGCGATATAAAATACACGCCTTTAAGTAGGTACCGCAAACTGGCCGTGCGACCCCGTGGCGCACTGTCACGGAGACCAAAACCCATATTTTTACCCTCCTAAAACACCGTGTGAACATGCATACACACAAACACTTGATATATCAGAAGAAAGAGGAGCTTTTCCTCTTTTTAGTGGTATTATTTATTTGAATCAACGATTCTTTTGAAAACAAAATCTTGCGGGATAAAAGACAACACTATCGAGGTTTTCACCGCAGCGGCCGCGCGTTTCATGTACTGAATTTTAGAATGACCTCGGTTGAACAGGAACGGGGAACGTACGGTATTAAATA